CATCCGCAAAATACATAATTTTGACACGTTACAGATGCAGCCTCAGTCTATAAGTCTAGGCTAAAACCCTATTTGCTTAGTCGAGCCTTTGGTGGTAGTTTTTCCTCTTAGATAAAAGGTGCAGATCTGGGGGTTCATGGACGTAGAGTATTATGATAAACTGGGAGTGTTGGTGCTGTGCCGCTGCTCACACACTCACTCAGATTTGTTGACAGTGGAGTGGAGGGGCGCATTGTTCACATTAACCAATGTTAAGCCTGTCAAATGCCTGCTGAAAGCTGATTGGCTGATGATGGCCATAAATTTTGATGTTTCCAATTGTCCCTATGTATTTATTTATGATATGTCTAATAGATGCTACTTGCAAAATGTCAGCTTGATCATATGTGAGAAACTGTTAGTTGGCAGTTACAGCACCCCCTAATGATGTATGCACACCAAAATTTATAAGATACTCAGAATTTACTCCTTAATAACTTTAAAGTTTCAAGTTTTTGGATGAAGCATTCTCGAGTTATATAATTTTAAATTAATTATGAATTATTCCAGAAGGGTTCATCAAAATATGGCAGCCATATCGCCTAAGAAAGTCAATGTTTTTGATAATTATTGAGATTCAAGGTCTTATTTTTTGATAGTTACATGAGGATTGAGCAAAAATACTAGGACTAGTTTGCAAAGGTAGGTTTTCGCATATTGTGCAGAGAGATCAGAATTGCAAATTGGTTTGGCTTGACCCGAGGAATCATGAAAAAGTAAATTAGTCTCCAAACATTTTGACTTAAGAGGTACGCAGTAGCGCCCCCTTTAGGCCGATTGGGCTCATGTTTAGTGCCTAAGTGGCAGGAAGGGCTACTACCTATTGACCAAGTTTCATGTCTCTATGACCTATGATTTGGTCTGGCCAGATCGTTTTAGGGAGGAATCATAATAATAATAATAATAATAATAATAATACTTGACAAGGAGCACAGCATTCTTAATAACTTGCTTAATAGTTCCTGCAATCAGTTATAACATGAGCATTGTGACAACACGGCAATGTCTCCTCTCATGCTGGACACATGGTGAATGCTTTAGCTTAGAACAGTCTTAGTTGAAGTCACTGGGTGTGAGAATTATAAAAAAAAAAAAGAAAAGAAATGGATTAAATGACGTCATTTGGTGGGTATACCAGGATGGACAGCATGTGGTATCACTGGTGTTACCATCTCTGGTGTTACCCTCCTTACACAAGTGTGTAAGGAAGTGTTTCCTTATGGGTAACACCGTTGAAGACCATTGAAGTAACCCAGCTGGCACCTGACCGACCTTCAACGTTGAAATGTGTTTTATGTTTGTTTTTGTTGTATGTTTATATGTTTTATGTTGTATGTGCTGCTTGTGTTGTTGTGTGTCAGGGAGGTGTGGGTTTTGTGTTGGGGGTTGGTCACCATCAGGGTGAAGTGTACATAATATAATATAGAAACTTTATACGTCGCATTTCATACACTGAAATGCAGCTCAAAGTGCTTTACATAAAACATGGAGAGAAATTCTCATATTCACATATATATCGCTGTTGTGGGAAGAAAACCTCGTATCTCCATTTTTGTCGTTTTTCAGTTTTTTACATAATTTGAAAATGCCTGTTGCCCTTTACAATGTGTGTAAATTTCATAAAGAAAGGACCAAAACAAACGGCCCAAAATGGCTTAGAAAAAAGTCTGGTTCCATTGACTTACATTAAAAGTAAAGTAGTTTGTGGTTTTTCCTTCTCCTGTAAAATTACTATTTTAGAGATACAAGGTTTTTGTCTGACAACAGCGATATCAGCCTCAGACAGCCTAGTACTGAAAAACACAACTTGGTCATTTACAGTCACAGACACACATTTGGACTGGATTCCCTTAAATGTTTTCATGAAGTCAGACAGAGTTGATTCTTTGCACCATTTTTTTTTTTAGCCAATTTAGGTTTCTTGACATTTTGTGGAGGTGCCACAGTTAAGTCTGTCAACCTTGTAATGTAAATAACTACTGTCAAATGAAAATCTTAATATCTTGAAGGTTAACAATGATTGAAGCTTTTTAAACAGAATTACTTTCACAGGAACAGTGAATAATCCTGACTTCCAGTCTTGATTCTTATAGCAGCAGACAGCCGATAACGTGACAAACAAGCTAACATACATAAAGACTGGGTTAAGCCTTTTACAAGCCAGACTGTAACTGTGACGTATTTCCAAAACAGATGATGGCAAAACAGAGAAAAATCTAACTGTCTGCTTTAAATGGCCAGAACTTCACTGCCATTGCAGTCTTGTCATTTATCAGGGCAAACATGCCAAAATTTTGGGTATCACCCCAGAGCAGGATGGAAAATCAGCTATACTTTCCACCACTCTTTATAGTGCTGAAAGTTTCAGTTGTTCAGTTACTCCAGTCCCACTAGGACCTTTTGCCCACCACTGTTGGAGGTGTGATGCCACCTATGAAATCAAGAACCCCTGACAGTCAGCAGGATCTGTCTGTTTTGCATAAAAGTAAAAGAAGAAATAAATAAAAAATAACCAAATTTTGTCAAACTTTGTTTACTTTTTAAGACGTAGAGGAGGTGATGTACCGGTTAGCAGGTTAGCCTTTTAGCATCTGCGTTTCTCACACTTTTCTCACACTTTCACAGAAAAAGCAAGAGAAAAAAGACTGTATATGAGTGTGATTACCTAACATTTGAGCAAGATTATGTGTGTACTTGCACGTTGCTCCATCATCTGCTGGCCTGCCTCAAAGTGTCGCAGCACAGCAGAAGACTTTAGTGCAAATACTGCCCGATATCTGAACTACCTCACTGGTGTCAGCACTTGTTCTTCAGCATAAACAAACTGAAATAACTCATAGGAGAAGAAAGGAAGTTATCTGCAGACATAGGCCTCATGTATGTGCAGCTGGGAGTGGAGGTGATGGCGCTGATTGGTTAGGGTGGGAGGAGGAGGAGGAAAAACATTATTATATTATTATTTGATATTATTATTTGTTAGTATCATTTTTTCCTCCAGCTGGAATTAGGTGACACAACTAAACACCAGGTGGCAAAAATCAATACACTTTAATCAAACATTACAGAGAAACACTAATTTATTGTTCGGAATGATATGGCACAGTGGACTGTGCTTAAAGTGACCCTGGAGATGAACTAACAATGAAAAAAGGTCTGTTTTAATTTTAGGCTTACTTTGATTTCAACATGGTTTAAATTGTGATTAAGAGTGTAATAAATAACATGAATCAACCTACTAAGCATGACAAGTATACTTATTGCATTACCTGTTTTTTTTAGCAGCTTTCAGCTAATATTCATGTATTAATATTTAATGAAGATCTCATAGCAGAATAGATAGATAATTGCTGTTCATGCTTTCAACCACCAGGTGTCATTAATGTGCACTGACTTTACAAGCTAAATGTGAACACTTTTCACCACAATTTGAAGGAAAGCCTTGCTGCTTCAGAAAGCTTTATTTTTGCAATCACTAAAAAAATATGTGATCCAAAAGACTTGATGATCTGATCTAAAGAGGAACAGAAGCAGAATAGCAGGGTGAGAACTGGCAGGGTGGATAATGCAGGTAGGTGCACTGCTACAACAGGATTTTGCACTGATCCTGAGATATATTAAACCAAGATACTGAAAAATCAGAAAGCTGATTTAACTAAATTTTCCCACAGAGCTTATAACATAAATTCCGTTTTTTATTTTAATAATGCATTAATAGTTACTGAAGATAAATACACCAACCAGGCATAACATTATGACCACCTCCTTGTTTCTACGCTCATTGTCCATTTTATCAGCTCCACTTACTATATAGGAGCACTTTGTAGTTCTACAGTTACAGACTGTAGTCCATCTGTTTCTCTGATACTTTGTTAGCCCCCTTTTACCCTGTTCTTCAGTGGTCAGGACCCCCATGGACCCTCACAGAGCAGGTACTATTTGGGTGGTGGATCATTCTCAGCACTGCAGTAACACTGACGTGGTGGTGGTGTGTTAGTGTGTGTTGTGCTGGTGTGAGTGGATCAGATACAGCAGTGCTGCTGGAGATTTTAAACACTGTGTCCACTCACTGTCCACTCTATTAGACACTCCTACCTTGTCAGTCCACCTTGTAGATGTAAAGTCAGAGACGACAGCTCATCTGCTGCTGCACAGTTTGTGTTGGTCATCCTCTAGTCCTTCATCAGTGGTCACAGGACGCTGTTGGTTGGATATTTTTGGTTGGTGGACTATTCTCAGTCCAGCTGTGACACTGAGGTGTTTAAAAACTCCAGCAGCACTGCTGTGTCTGATCCACTCACACCAACGCAACACACACTAACACACCACCACCATGTCAGTGTTACTGCAGTGCTGAGAATGATCCACCACCCAAATAGTACCTGCTCTGTGAGGGTCCATGGGGGTCCTGACCACTGAAGAACAGGGTAAAAGGGGGCTAACAAAGTATGCAGAGAAAGAGATGGACTACAGTCTGTAACTGTAGAACTACAAAGTGCACCTATATACACCGAAACAAGGAGGTGGTCATAATGTTATGCCTGATCAACAACCCTAGATGCTTTGAAGGTCAGAGACACACAGATCTTCCAGATTTTCTGTGATTAGAGAAACCAAAAGAATTCACAGTGAATAGCTGCAGCTTGAACTACTGGAGCAGTAAAAGCATATCTGAGGTGAGATCTGAGGGATGCAGAGCCAGCAGTGTATGCTACTGTATAGAAGAATAACATACTGAAGTATCTCAGTGAAGGTAACATCAGAGCACATTACTGTCATTAATGGCACAGCAGATAATATTATATTTTTGCATTAGTAAAGCACACCCATATCAGCATACTTCAGCACACATATGACACATATGGCACACGCCTCCCACTAAATCAGTGGTTCCAGCCACTACTCCTGGTACCGTACAGGCCAGACTCCTACATTTGGCCCAGAGTGGTTTCTCCATGTCACACCTGCTGAATGTTGTTTCCACTTCCTCTTGGAAAGGTCCTCTCTCTGTCTCTTGCTCCACGGCCTTCACTTCTGCACATGCCTCCTGGAAGGCCAATGTTGGTTCTCTTTGCACCCTCCTCTGGAGCGCCACTTGAACTGGCCTAGGTTGCGGCCCCAGCACCAACTGGCTGCAGAGCATTTCATGATTAGCCCCTCCTGCTGGCTCCTGGTTCCCTCACCTAGCATGGGATTCATGGAGAAGCAAGATGAATGCCCCCGCACCCACCCCCCCCCTTCCGACCTGCTATTGACATTTAAAAACTTTGCCCTTACTTGAGCTAAGCTAACATTTTTCCCACATATACTCATTGAAGAGCGTTAAATATTTAAATATTTTTAGGACATTGAGAAAATGGTTCCTGATTTTTCTTCCCACTATTTTTAGATACCCAAGGCCCACATATAAACCAAGCATCATTAGGCCATCACATACTATTTTCTACAATACAACGATTCCAACATAAAAAACACAAATAAACTGGAGAAGTGACACATATGACACTAGCATTTGTTATGCTCTGCTTTTCAGGGACTAATTTTGAATGGCCGGACTTGGTTATACTGTGATTGTGGTTGTAGCTGAATGTCAGAGCCTTGCTGAGCTGACAGAGCCGAAGGCCAGCCCTCAGCACCATGTTTTCCCCCTTTTGTATGCTGTATCCAAGTATTTTCAGTAAAGCTGAGTTATGGACCAGAAGCTTGACTTGTCCAAGTTTCTTCTGAGAACCCCCAGCATTACAGTGGTGTCAGAACTGGTGGGAGAAACTGAGATGAGAGGTCAGTCTCTGCTGCGGTGCGAGGTTCAGGTAGGGCATGTTGAGTTGGATGTGGTACAGCAGAGGGATGGATGAGAAGAGGCTGTGAAGAACCAGGCTCAGCAGCCCAGGGGAAGTTTGCTCTCCTGACATCAGCAGCAAGTCGTCACAAAGCATGAGCGACCTGGGGTATCTCCATCGTCCAGTTTGCTCACTCCAAGATTAATGGCATCTGGGGTAGAGGGGTGCAGTGCCCCTCCCCCATGTGCAGTGTAGCCAAAGACATAGTGGTCAATAGAGCAATTAGGCATCAAAGTTATGTCTTTCATGGTCCTGGCCTGAGGCCACCACCAGCCCACAAACATAGCGTGAGGCATTATGATGGTATGGGGCGTCAGTCTGCCTAACTGCAGCAGTGGTAGCGGGTTGGGGGAACCAGGTGAGGGCAGTGCAGTTAGCAGTTAGACCTCCCTGCTGATGATGGTGGCTTGGCACAGCCTCACAGCCAGCCCTGGGAGGCAGTCTGGAGAGAGAAACTCCATCAAAGGGAGCACCAGCACAAAGAAGCTGGGTCCCTTTGCCACCAACATAGGGAATATGGTGGAGCTTACCTTCAGAGTTCACAGTGGTGGCCAGCGATGGCTTAATTTTGGATGCATTCATATGGGCGGTGAGGCCAGGGAAGCTCCAGCAGCATCTGTGCATTGCAAAGTCAACTCATCTGGAGGAGGCTTTACAATGAGTGGAAGAGATGGAGGCAATTATAAGAGAATATGCAGGCTGCAGCTAGGTTTGCACAGAGGTGGGGGCAGACTGCAGTGACAGCGAGTGCGAGGGAGAAGAGGCAGAGGGACAGGAGCTCATCCTCAGCGACAGCAGAATGACTGGTATGCTGGTAATGCGGAAAGAAGTAACACCGTGCCAGTCAATGCTGTCAACCGTCGAAGCAGTGGAAACACATTCTGTGGAGTGACGAATCACACTTCTCTATCTGTCAGTCTGATGGACGAGTCTGGGTTTGGCGAATGCCAGGAGAACATTACCTGCCTGACTGCACTGTGCCAACTGTAAAGTTTGGTGGAGGAGGGATGATGATATGGGGCTGTTTTTCAGGGGTTGGTCTAGAACCCTTAGTTCCAGTGAAGGGGAATGCTACAGCACCAAGACATTTTGGACAACTGTACGCTTCCAACTTTGTGGAACAGCTTGGGGAAGAACCTTTTCTGTTCCAGCATGACTGAGACCCAGTGCACTGAGTCACAGAGCCCTGACCTCAACCCCATCAAACACCTTTGAGATGAACTAGAATGGATTGTGAGCCAGGCCCTCTCATCCAACATCAGTGTCTGACCTTACAAATGCTCTTCTGGATGAATGGGCTAAAATTCCCACAGACACTCTCCAACATCTTGTAGAAAGCCTCCCAGAAGAGTGGAAGCTGTTATAGCTGCAAAGGGGGACCAACATTAATGCCTATGGATTTAGAATGGGATTCTTCTGTAGGTGTAATGAGTAGGTGTCCCAATACTTTTGTCCATATAGTGTATTTTGGAGCAGAATGCTGCCTTTTAGGTGTTGTCTTTTTCAGGGATATCCAAGCTTATTTCATCATAACAGCACCAAGCCACATTTCGTATGTGTAACAACAGCATGACTGCGTAATCAGAGAGTGTTGGTTCCAGACTGGCCTGTCTGTGTCCTTTTGAAACATGTGGTACATTATGAAGTAAAAATATGACAACAAAGGTCCCACATGGTTGTGCAGCTGAAGAGCTACATAACTGAAGAACAGAAAATAAATAGACTTTCAGTTCAGAACAGTTTGTCTTAGGCTGAAGACCGTTCACCACTGTTCCAACTTCTCTGTTGGAGATAATGCTTCAAAGTAATGTTCAATTTCAATAATTTCGTTCTCATATTTTCCAGAGTTTCTTTTGATCGCAGCATATTGTGCTGCTTATTGAAACCTTTTAGCCTGCTTTACATTGCTGGAAGGATTCTATATAAGTGATTTTAGATTCAACAGGACTGGAAATAATCAAGCCATTGATATTTGATCCCAATTATTAATTAAATTTGTTTTTTTGGAAAAAAAAAAATAGGAGAGGGTGACAAATGCTTTTATCACATCACTGTAACTAAAGGATAGAAACTCATGTTCTGACCTTCACAAACAACCCGCCTAGACTGGAATTGCAGGTATCTACTCATACCAAACTGCTGAATGGACCCTGGTGCTTTGAAGATCAGAGACACACAGATCTTCCAGATTTTCTGTGATTAGAGAAACCAAAAGATTTCACAAAGCTGTGGCTTTATCTATTGTAGTAGTAAAAACAAATCTGAGGTGAGATCTGAGGGAGGCAGAGTCAGCAGTGTGACCTGTCAACTAGTAGACAAGACACAGGTACAGAAATCACAGTTATCAATGGGGCTAACAAAAGCATGCTGTAAATTGTATGAATCTTTTTGCATCTCAGCAGTGCCACAGCCATGTTTGTATATATTATGGGCATAACAGGCCTTGCTGCCCCACCTCTACTATACGGTGTTTCTGTCTATTGTTCGTTCAGAGCCAGCATTAGCTCACCTAGCAGGGCTGAGAAATAAATACTCTCCTCTAAGAGTGCTCAGCTGTTTAGTGATGTTGTGTGAGCTTGAAAAGATGTGGCTTGTGTCTGGGGGGAAGCAGATGTTAGACCTTACCCTCTAAGGCTGGTAGAATCATTCGATAGGGGTAGACTTAGGTGGGAACTGGTCATGACAGAAATGGAAGAAAGAATGGGTAAAAATACAAAAGTTAAAAAAAAAAAGATTCAAACTTTTCATCCAATCTTGATTTGCAGGAAAAAATAACACAAGTTTATTCAGTCTGGCACCTCTTTACCTGCTTTCTGCCCCACCTTTCAGACTACGCACTTTTGATAGGGCTTTTAGCATTGCAGGCCAAAAACACCTCTTCCTGACTGCCTTTTCACAAACTTAGTCACTTAGACTTGTTGTGACGACATTTATGTTAAATGATTATTTCCTTTATTCATATCTACTCATTATCTGCTCATTGTTTATCTCTGTTTTTTTCTTCCTTTTTCTTATCTTTTAATCCTTATCTTGTCCTGAAAAATTGTTTCACTTTTTATCTATTTTATTCTTTATATTTTTCTTAATATAAAAAGAATATATGATTCTTATATTTCTATAATGAACATGTCATTCCTATGTATTTTCATTGTTTATGCTCACTGGCATTTTTGATTTTCTGATATTTGGCTGTATTTATTTGTGTTCCTGAAAGAAATAAATGTCCATTGGTACCTTTTAAAGCTAAAACATAAACTGCATTATTATTATTATTATTATTATTATTATTATTATTATATTTCTTATAAGCATTTTTGTATTCATTACTTTGTTTTTTTAAGAACTACCATAACAGTATTAGGCAGCGCTGTGGCAGTGTCACCTCACAGCAAGAAGGGCCTGGGTTTGATTCCCCAGCCAGGCGACCAGGATCCTTTCTGTGTGAAGTTCTCCCAGTGTCTGTGTGGGTTTCCTTCTACAGTCCAAAGACATGCAGTCAGGCCAAGTGGAAACATTAAATTGCCCCTAGTTGTGAATGTACGTGTCTGCCCTGTGATGGACTGGCCAGGGTGTTTCCTGCCTTCCGCCCAATGACTGCTGCTATAGGCTCCAGCTCCCCCTGTGACCCAGGATGATAAGTGGCTTAGATAATTTGAGTGTGTTTAACTATATTACGTAATTTTCATTAAAAAACTTTTTTTAGTAACTAATTTTCAGTGACTCAATCCTGGTTACTGGCATAACGCAGTTCAATGACAAGCTGAATTCTTAAACAGACGGTTTTATCACCTGAATACTGTCTTCTCCATCAAGCTGATCAGGCAGCTGTGAACAATCCTGTCCACTCTGATTGGTCTTCGCTTTTATCTAAAGTAACTTCGGGTAAAAGACCACTGCTGAACCCGCATAAAGCTGCACTAAGGGAGCACAGAGGTTACTGACGATCACCCCACTGAAAGGCGATCCTCTGCAAATGAGGACCACATAACAGCAAGCGTCTGGACTGGTATCAGGGTTTTCCATCAGATACACAGGGTACATTTCTCTGCTGCATTTTAAGGATGCCACAAAGTGAGATGGCCTTCAGTGATATCCAGTCGACCTCGCCTGCCTTTAGAAACAAAAAGGAAAGTTAAACCAGCTGCTCTATTTGAAAGCTGGAGAGTTCTGTGCTCTTTATTATGCTGGAGAAAAATCCAGAGGAGCGCATTCATTTCTACTAGCAACACTGGACAAAGTGTAACTACAGTAAGCAAATATTTCTTAAAAATATTTTTAAGGACTTACATACCTCATTATTTAATTATACTATACTTATATATTACTATACTGCTCCTTATATATTATATATTACTATACTTATATATTAACACATTCAATTATATGTTTAGATATTTCATGTTCATGAAAATGCTAAGAAAGTACAGTGGCCAATACGACCATGGCCAAATGCTACATTGTTAACATGACAAGCAAACAAACAGGAAAACAACACGAAAATGAGTTGTTTACTGTTCCAGCTATTCTGTTTTAAATCAATTTAAATGTTTTCTTTTTTTCAGTCTTGGGAAACACTTTTCCATATCAGATGAAAACACTGTCTTCATAGTAAATGCCAAGATTTAGACTTCATTAAGAATAAAGGGAGAGTGTGTCACAGTCTACAGCCACAACCCAAATGGACCCCAGAACCAGGTGGGTAGTAAAAGAAGGTCTTGTAAAGCTGATGGTGGAGGACTACAGCCATGTTTAATAAGGTTTTGGAATAATTAGCCAGTGACTGTAATAGTCAGCACACTTCACACACTCGTCACACTCCTCACTGCTGTACTGTGGGGCAGCGTTCTTATAGCTGTGATCAAACTCTCTGCACGTATAATTTAGATGTTCCATATTTTTTAATCCAGAATGTTTCATTTGTATTTGTCTTTATGGTCATTTTCTCTTGCAAAAAGCATTTCTGTTGATTTTCTAAATATTCTGATTATGCTGTATAATCTCGGGATAGACTGCTGACAGCGTATCGACTCTTTGAGCTGGTCGGGTGGCTAATTTAGAACCGTATATATTAAGACTGTCTATGCACACAGGCACAACTTCCTAATTAATACATGATCATTGCTGTGAATTCTTTTGTCTCACATGCGTCCCCAACCTGTTATAGAAAAGTTTTTTTTTGAGGTTCTGAGGTTTCATTAATAAATCATCGGGTCAAAATAATGACTTTATTCTGAGATTTTGAATGACTAATGTGAACTTTTGTCATAATTTAACATAATAAGTCATTACTTTGAGAAAATGAATGATTTTTTGACTTTCTGTTTTGAGACGTTCATCGTCGGCTGGTGGTTTGAGCTGAACTCGAGTTCTGAGTGCTGAGTGCCTTTTGAAACCGTGTGAAATGATAAAATCTGTCTTTAATTCAGTCTGGTTGTTTGGGAATTGTATGCTTTTGATCGTGCCCCTTTGCTACTTGTAGTGCATCAAAGAATGGCTTTGATATTTCTTCAATAACTCACACAGAAGTCACAGTGTGAGCAAATAATGTAGTAGTGAGCAGATTTAGTAATGTAGTTATTGAGCAGTTGTGCTTTTAAGTCATATGGAAAAGAAATTATTTAGGCAAAATCATTATTTAGGTAAAACCAGCTCCTAAGACACTTTGAAGAGTGTAAACTACACCCAAAATGTTAGAAAATAGTAGTTTAACACTTTTAGTAAAACTCTCTGGTTTTAGTTTATTTTTTATTCCCAACAATGTTATAACACTGTTAAATAAATAAATGTTTATAGATATTTTTCCCCATCAAAAATAATAAATTAGTATTATTAGTATTTACTCAGTCTTAGTAAAACAGAATAAGTGCTTCATTATAATCTTCCAGTATTCTACACTTTGACAGGGAAACACCTATAAATGCATATGCAAGGAGGCAAAAGTGCGAAACAGCAGTGACTGCCCCTTTATGGCCACTAAAGACCCTTTGCAATTACATCACAACAGCCTCATTTTATTACCAAAAACATAGTTTGAGCCTACTCAAAAAAAAAAAGTTTATATTTTATTCTCTTTAAAATACAAATATTTGTACGCAGTAAATCTCATGTTTCACTGAACGTGGAATGAAAGTTTGGTTTTCCTTGTGTTACATATTTTCCGTCGACTCTTGATGCCATTTGACCAACAGAGTTTGAACAGAAAACAGCAGCTGAGCACCACACCCACTCCCAGTGGCTCAACAGAACAAAGTTAGTTTCACTTTCTTATCTGTTATGATCTGCCTGTCAGGCCCTCGGCGGCATCTACTGATAAGCAGCTTCATCTTTCATCACTCACACCTGGTTTACACTACATTTGATGCAGATACCTGAGAAGTGAACATGTTTAGTGTAGTCAGATAGTTATCATTTTCTGACATTAGTAAAAAAAGAAAGTATGAAACAGAAACTGTACACAGAAGCCTCAACAACTAAATATAGTAACATTTTCAGTATTTAATGTGATCGCTCTTTACCTTTATTTCAGCTTCCACTCTTTTCAGGAGACTAGCTTTCAGGTTTTTGTCGGGACCAAAGGTTATCCCCTTCAACCCCAGGCCTCCAACATAATACTATGAATAAAAAGAAATCTTTTAATACTGGCTAAACACTTTCACTAAGAACTGTTTTAAGTCTAAGTTCTAAAAAGATGTCAAAAAGGAAAGAGTCTTCAGACGCTGAGTTTGTGGAAAGAGGGAAAAAGGCTTCTTCTTTATTCCAGCTTTAAGTGGCACAGAGAGACCCAACTGCTCAAACAGTCTTCCAAACAACAGTTTATGTACTGTTTATCTGGGGTAGTTTGATATCCCCCCACCTTACTTACTTCTCAAACTATGATATTAGCTCATTCTCCAATAGGTGCATCTCTTTCATCCATTAATTTGGCCATCGCATGTTGAGCTCACTCCTAAAAACTGGTTTCACCCGGTTTTTACCAGTCTGCTTTACCTATCAAGGTCAACTTGCCCCTCTCTTCACTGGGTCAGTAGGTACTCACAGGCCTGTCTGTGAATCCAGAAGCTTTCCAGTGTCTAGAATCTCCTATACAGACAGATTAAGGCTGACCCTTTGTGAGAGAATTAATATTCTCTGTTAGGCAATACTTCCTATTTGGTTATTGATTACAATATCTAATCTATTTGATTACTGATAAGCGAATATGTATTCAAAGTCACCGTAATTTTCACGGTGGTCAGTCCATTGTTCTGAGACCATCAGCAGCTGCAAATCTTCTTTCCTTTCCTTTACTCAGTTGTGGAAACTTCTTCTGCTTATTTTCTTTTTTGGCTCTCCTCAAGTTAGTTAGATTATCTTATATCAAATGATGTTATGGGACGGCAGGGAGGCTGACCCAAGTGCAGAGAGGAAAACCCGTGAGGAAGGGTCTTAAATGAATTTATTGAGGTGATGGAGTGTGAATTTGGTGATTGCGTACAATGGAGTTGAGGTGGAAAATTAAAAAAAAAAAACGGCGGGAAAAAGGCAAACAAAGGGGATGCTGAACGCAGCACGCTCAAACGAAGGCTGAAATAGAAACGTGAAATAAAAGATAATCAGAAAACACTTCCTCAGTGATTATGAGAGGAAGGTCAGTTTGACGTGTTTGTTGGAGCAAACACTTTTGTATAGCTTGGAGCTGTGTCTTGCTCAAGCCTTCTTCTTGGTTTTTAAGTAGTTTTGGGGTAATCTCTCTCTTTTGTTTTTCCAGCCCTGTAAACTTCCAACAAAATCTAATGACTTTTGCCCCGCCTCTTAAATGTCTTCCAGTTTTTGATTTCCTCATTATGAACCAGTGGGCCACTAAAAATGATATTAAACAATATTCTGCTATCATATTCTGCCAGAACTCAGATGTAAATTGTAAAGTTTTTATCACTTAAGAGAAACATTACCTAATTAGCATCACAGGGTGATCAGTTTATATGCCTTATTAAGAATTAAGAATTCTCATCATTCATTCTTTTTTAGAAACAGAGACCAATCAGAGAAACAACTGCAGAAATACATCTTGGACACGCTCACTTACATCAAAACAGTGAGTGACTTTTGTGAAATAGAAAAAGAATGGACTGATCAGAGAACATCTGAGATAAAGAAGATAAGTAGCATCAAAAGCCGTTCAGAGGCCCGTTTCAAATGGCCAAAGCCAGAGGAGAAGCTGGAGAAGGAGCTGGGGGCAGTTCTGAAGGACACTCTGGAGGGGCTGGAGAAACTTCAGCACTTCCTAGACGCAGTGGAACAGCTAGCAGTGACCTCACTGTGTGTATTCACAGAGGAGATCTTCCTGCTGAAGGGAGTGAGTGCTAATGCTGTGTATTCTGTGATCTCCACTGCCAGAGCTGTTTCTCCATTACTCATCCTCTTCAAAAGGGATGTGAAAGCTTTCTTCCTGCCGAGGCTCAACAATGTAGAGGTTCTGAATTTCCAGCTGGAAAAATACATCTCAGTCACACAACAGCTCTGTGAGAGAATGAGGTGAGTGATTCATTCATTTATACCACGTTCAAGACATATCTTACAGTTATTACAGCTTTAGAAGGAGGAAAAGTCTACTATAAACAGTCAACATGGCAAATAATGAGCTAATGTTAGTTAGCATACTTGCTACCCAAACTACATGCTGGCAACTGTTTGCTTGCCAAGTTTCTTTGCCTCTTTTCCTCCAACAACATATAGATAAATACTGAAAACAGAATTGTGTTTGCTTCTCTACAGATACGAGAGCCCATTGCAGGATATAGGCATTCACATGTAAGTATTATCAATACATGTGTAATTTTATGGGTTATAAAGTCTTTTTATATTTTTATATAAAAAGAATATTTCAATAAGTTGAACTTTCCATTGCAGATGGAAAATCTGCAACCCTTCATTGTGGTTCAGGCTGAATATGACTGGGACCAGGATGTACATGAGTGACCACTTGAGCCAGCTGAGCAAAATCAGGTAATGATTTTGTGAAATTTTGGTTCTGTTGAATAATTTTGCTTTTACATTCTGTCTTCCTCAACCTCTGTTATGAACCCATTCACCGTCTTTCAGAATGGACGAGTCATTCAGGATGACATTCCTGTTTAATGGGAAAGCCCAGGAATTCATCGACATATACACTGGATGTCGCTCCAGAATGAATCAGTTCCTATCAGGTCTAAAAGAGACCGAGGACAAGTTGGATAAACTGAAGAAGGGCTCCAGAATTTCCGCTGTGACTGGAAGTTCAGTAGGTGCTGCAGGAGGTGCCTTGTCCATCACAGGCCTGGCTCTTGCCCCCGTCACTGGAGGATTATCCCTGGCCCTCACATTCACTGGGCTTGGGTTGGGGGCTCTCAGTGGAGTCAACAGCGTAGTCACCTTCATTACTAAAATGGCTATCAAGAAGAAACAAGGGAAAAAGGCCAGCAACATCTTTGAGAGTTTTAAGGAGGATGTGGATAAGGTCCTAGATTGTCTAGAGCAGATAGGTAGAAGTCAGCGTCCTGCACCACACATGGACAAGGGCAGTGTAGCATTTGGGGCTGTGAAAGCAATAGGCACGACTGGGGCGGTGGTCAAAAGCGTTAAAGATATGGTCCAGAAAGGACAGGCTTTGAGCGCTAGTGGACGGTGTACGGACGGGTAAGAGGTTAGTCTGTATGGGACTTAAAGAAGCTAAAGTAGCCCAGAAAAATCCCCATTGGAGACATAGTAAAGGTTTCTTCTCAATTCATTTCAAAAGCAGCCAGAGTTGGGGCTGTTGCTATAAATGTTCTGTTTATTGGTATCGATCTTAAGACCATCTGTGATGAATGTCGGAACCTGGCCAAAGGGAAAAAAAGCAAAGCGTCTCAGCTCATCTTCTCCAGATCAGCTCTGTGGCACTCCGAGATGGAGGCATGGGATAAGATCCATGACTCTCTGTGCGAAGGAGAAGAGACATTCGAGAGGAACCTGGAAATTCTAGACCAGCCATTTTACTGTTAAAGGAAAAACTGGATCAAAGAAATTTAAGTGGCTAACGGTTTATGAAAGTTCCTAGATTGTCCAGAGCAGATATGAAAACTGGGGTCCACCAATTAGTGTCATTTGTGAACTTTAAATTTATAATTAAGAAGTACTTTGTAGTTTGTAATAGCTCAAAACATCCTCATCCAACACCAAGTTTTACATGAAGATGTAAATGTATGTTATAGAAGTGTACATGGGTCACATTATGTGTTGAAGTGCAGTCTGAGCAGCAGTGCACTGTAACAGAGAAAAAAATTAACCACCCCTTCAGCACATTTAAATGCTCACTCACTGTTTATTTGCTGAATTTTACATTCTGGAATTAAAATAAAACATAAAGAAGAGAATTGTGCAAATCACATTTTATGTTTTACTTTTGTCCAAAATGTTAAACAAGCAAATAAATGGAAAGTGTGCACTAAAATGTGCAGAAAAATGCTAAATGTTATATTTATTTACCGCAAAATGTAAATAAAAACAGAAGGAAAAAGATAATTAAAAAACTATTTAATTGAAAATGGTACAAAGGCAACAAATCAAATGGTGAAACTGAGAAATTTTATTGTTTTTTAAGAAACATTGATGCGCTTTGAAATTGTTGCTAACAATACATTTCAAAAAAGTTGGGACATTAAAAGATTCAGAGAATCTGAAGAAATCTCTGTATTCAAGCGACAAGGCTGAAAACTAATACTGGATGGCCGTGGTCTTTGGGCCCTCAGGTGGCACTGTATTAAAAACAGACATGATTCTGTAGTTGAAATCACTGCATGGGCTCAGGAACACTTCCAAAAAGCCTGTCTGTGAAGTCTGTGAACACAGTTCATCGTTGCATCAACAAATTGCAAGTTAAAACTCTACCATCAACACCGCCGCCTTCTCTGGGCCTGAGCTCAGATCGATTGAGGCGAAGCGGAAAAGTGTCCTGTGGTCCAACAAATCAGAATCTGAAATTCTTTTTGGCAGTCTTGGACGCTGCGTCCTCCAGGCTGAAGAAGACAGAAACCATCCAGCTTATTATTGGTGCACAGTTACAAAACCAGCATCTGTGATGGTATAAATTAGTGCACATGGAATGGGTGACTTGCACATCTGTGAAGGCACCAATAATGCTGAATGATATTTACAGGCTTTGGAGGAACACATGCTGCCATCCAGATGACGTCTTTTTCAAGGGAGGCCTTGCTTGTTTCAACAAAGCTATGCCAAACCACATTCTGCATATATTACAACAGCATGGCTCCATAGTGAAAGAGTCTAGGTGCTAAACTGGCCTGCCTGCAGTCCAGACCTGTTACCCACTGAAAACATTTGGCACTTTATAAAATGAAAAATACGACAAAGGAGACCCTGAATTGTTGAACAGCTGAAATCCTGTGTCAAGAAAAAACGGGAAAGCATTTCACCTTAAAAACTTCAACAGTGTCTCCTCAGTTCCCAAACACTTACAGAATGTTGTTAAAAGAAGAGCTGATGCACAGAAGTAAACATGCCCCTGTCCCAACTTTTTTGGAACATGTTGTTGGCATCAAATTAAAAATGTGTTTTTCAAAAAACAATAAAATTTTTTTACTTTCAACATTTGATATGTTGTCTTTGTACTATTTTCAATTAACTAAAAGGGTTTAAATGATCTGCACATCATTGCACCCTGTTTGAATGTACATTTTGCACAATGTCCCAACCTTTTTGGAAAGGTGGTTGTAGAAAATCAACAGTATGCATAATTTGGCCAGGGTCTGTTCAAACTTTTGTATGTGGCTGTACTTAAGTACTGTATCTATACTTTATATTGTTTACATCTTAACATCAAATTCACATTTTTTTTTGTTACCTTCTGTACCTTATGAAAAAAATAAGAATACTTTATACAATTACTTTTTCTACCATATTGTCAATTATGTTTGCATTCATATTTACACAACAGAAACTATGGGGATCTTAATCATAGTAGAAAGTTAGAGATGCACAATGATATCAGAATTCCATCAGTATAGGCAGATAATTTATTAAAGAGGTATAAATTCAGGCGTTAAGGTTTAGGACAGACACATTTTTATAGAAATTACCCTGTAAATGATTATTATTATTACTCTGTTGAATCTCGGTTGATGTCTTGGGATGAAATATATCATAAAATAATTCTTGTAATTACTGTATCTAAGGTTTGAATTATTAACTGTATTTTTTTTTACCATAGGACTGCAATTTCACCTAATTCAGTAGAATTCCATATATGCAAGTATATGTCATGTTCCCTCTGCTGAGAAAACTGATTTACACAAACATGACAAATTTGTGTGTGTATATTTTGTGCTGGATTTTTGTTTTGACCTCAGAGAGCAAAGACTTTACATTCGTCCAATCTTTATCTGTATATCCAGGACACACCTTAACGTATAGTCACTTAAGACACCACTACAGCACTGAATGTAGTCTGTGTGTCACTGTGTCAATGTGTGTGTGCACCATCGCTATGTATTATATAAACAAATGAAATAAATAATAAAATAGAATAAAATAAATAAAGCAAATAAAGTAATAATATACTGTAAAAAAGATGAATCATAAAGAGTTTACAATTACAATTACACAAAGTAAAAAAGTAATAAGAAATTAACATAAAAAAACAGCAGAGTTTAACTTAAACAAGAACAGCAGAATTTCTTTTAAGACTACTTAGCAAATTCATCCGTTTACCAAAATCAGCAAAAACATGCAGTGTCTGAAGTGAAAGCCAGAGACTGGAATAAGTGGAAAAAAAAATATTGTCTTATTTACAGAAATATATAAAGACAACTGGTCATTGAGGGCCTAAATAAAAATCATTGCATGTCACACTTAATTGTTAGAGAATGCCAGCCTTCTTTTGCACATACAATACAGTGGAGTTTGTTGTTATTATCCACAGTGACAAAGTGAAGAGTAGAGGAATAAACTTCTTAAACCTTGTGTTCTGTTGACCAAATCAGACTGAGCCATAAAACTGCCGCAATATCAAGTTTAGCTCAGTTTTCTCAATTTTTGCCAGATTAATATTAATGTCCTTTTGTTCCAGCCAGTCTGCAAAGCATCTTACAGCCCATTTTGTTATAACAGCATGGTTAAGGTAAGACTGTGGAAGACTGTGTACAGCTGTCCATATGAATGTATAAAGCTATCTATCTGAGCAGTAAACATTTATTTGTTATATCACTATTTTTGTATTATTTATAGTTCATTCATAATTTGTCTCATCATACGATCTGGTTTCGCTAATCAATAACCAAACTTGAGTTTTTCTACCTAGCCAACTTTATAGAACAAGAACAAATATTCAGTGTAAGTTAGTGTACAAGGAATTTTAATAAAATAAAAAATGCAAGATTATGTCCTGACAGTGAGGTGTGTATGTATCATACATACATATATATATATATATATATATATATATGTGTGTATGTATCATATATATATATATATATATATATATATATATATATATATATATGATACATACACACCTCACTGTCAGGACATAATCTTGCATTTTTTATTTCATATTTTATACATATTGCATTTTATATATTTTATATATATATATATATATATATATATTGCCGAAAGTATTCACTCACCCATCAAAACCATTGAATTCAGGTGTTCCAATCACTTCCATGGCCACAGGTGTATAAAACCAAGCACCTAGGCGGGGTCAGTGGATGCTGAGGCGCATAGTGCGCAGAGGTCACCAACTTTCTGCTGAGTCAATCGCTACAGACCTCCAAACTTCATGTGGCCTTCAGATTAGCTCAAGAACAGCGTAGAGAGCTTCGTGGAATGGGTTTCCATGGCCGAGCAGCTGCATCCAAGCCTTACATCACCAAGCGCAATGCAAAGCGTTGAATGCAGTGGTGTAACTCTAGAGCAGTGGAGACGTGTTCTCTGGAGTGACCAATCACGCTTCTCCATCTGTCAATCCGATGGACGAGTCTGGGTTTGGCGGTTGCCAGGAGAACGGTACTTGTCTGACTGCATTGTGCCGAGTGTAAAAGTTTGGTGGAGGGGGGATTATGGTGTGGGGCTGTTTTTCAGGAGTTGGGCTCGGCCCCTTAGTGGTGACTTGCTAATAAGATGCTTAATGAGTGCATATATGCAGTTAAAATTCATATTTGGATAAAAATATGGGATACTTTTTTTCCTACATTTTTTTCTACTGACCACTTTTGGAGAAGACCACTTGGCTAGTGGCCTGTAATTTGAGACCCCTTTTGTACATGTTTAAATCAAATCTGTTCACTCACAGTTGAATCTTTCCATGATAGCTTAACTGGGCAGATTGGAATGTTTTTATTTAAGAATACTGCAATTATCCAGTGGACTTGGACTAAGACTCTAATATTATGATAATTAAGAATAATTTAGGCTATATATTATTTATTGACATATTCTACAACATATATTAGAAAAAAGAATGTAATTTATTGATATGTATAATGTAATTAATGTACAATGAAGAAAAATGAATTTACAGTGAACCACGAATTCATTTCTTTTTTCCCCTTTGCTTCTTTTTGTTTTTGTACTTGAAAAAATCTAAATCTCGGCCTTGACTCGGTCTCGGCCACTCCTGGTGTCAATCTTGACTCGGACTCA